CTAGAATCGATTCTCACATTAAAATATCGATATTTGTTATGGGTAATTTTAGGGTTAATTTGTAGTTCAATGATTAACAAGCGGAGCAAGACAGTGGAAAGTAAACTAAATCATTAAATGTTCGATGGTTGTCTATACATTCAAAGAACGTACTTGCGCTCTTAGCCGCTCTTTCATGAGTCATGTGCGAATAGCTGGCTGTATAAAATGTCATCCCTGTGCGTGAGCCCTTCTGGTGGCGTTCGCGCTACCTCATCAACAATGGGCTGACAGCGTTAATTAGTGCGGTACGTATTTTAAACTCCAGCAGAACATTGCTGAGAGTTGCTTGGTTTTTGCGATACAGATGTGGCGCAAAAAAGTGAGGGTGTATGGTTGGCGCATTACTTGCTCGAATCCTTGTGACGACTCTTTCATAATTATTGTGGTAGACGAGTCTCAAAATGGGCTGGTCTGGGGGGGGGGTGAACATAAATGACTGGTATCGGAGGAATCGATATTTCAGGATCGATCCGCACATCACTACTGCACATTTGAAATCAGTCCACACATCCATGCCACTTAGTTAACTGGTCTTTTTTCCAATCAGGATCAAGCCAGGAAGCAAAATGGTCTGAACCAGTCTCATGCAAGAGACTACAGAGCAGAATCTGCATTCTGGAATGGCAATGGCAGTCAACTGAAATTCATATCCAACTCACACCACACACTCAAAAAGATGACAAGAAAGCAATAATGGGGACACAATACTGCCTTTCTTACCTGTTTGTGCTGCATTAAAGGAGAAAAAAAACACAATGAGAACATGATACTACATTACATATAGAAACAGAAGTATATTCTAAACAGAAGTATAGAATTAAAAAAAGACATACTAATAAAAATATTACGTAGGCAGAACTCAATTTTTATCAATTTGTCATTAGAACTCAATTTAAGTAACTTACCAGTACTCTTCATGCAAAAATGGTGATCAACTCAATTTATTTGAGTTTTCTTTACTTAGAAAAGCTAGGTAAGCTGGAAATGTTGCTTCTCAGTGCGGAAGGATGAAATGATGTGGTTTGAAAATGCCACATCACTACTGTCCTCCTCCCTAGCACGGATCAGTCCACATGTTCATGGGGCCAGCATTTTTTCTGGAATATGTTGAGCAAACCTGGAGAAGCTTCAGCTCAAGAGATTATTGTTATAATTGCTGTGGATCTTTACCTGATACACTGACTTGGTGAGTACACTTTTACTTTTATTCAAACTGATTTTGTGGCTTCTCTTAGTTTAGCACCAGGTTTATAATCTTGCTAGCTAATTAGTGTCAGCCCAGTGTTGCTGCTGCTGCTGGGCTTAAAAATTAACACCACAGCCTTAAAAACCATATAAAAATATGTCTGTGAAATTTTATGTTGATTGTTTGAAATGAAAAAAGTGAGATACAAGCCTAGACAAACGTTTTTGGTAGTGATGTGCGATACCACTGTCACGGTTCTGGGTCCGTTGGACCCAGTATTTTGAGTTTATTATATTTTGGTTTAATTCTGCTTCATGGATTGTTTTCTTGTTCTCTTGTAGTGATAATGATGCTTATTATTAGTTTCTTTTTTCTGTTTATCCATGCTTAAGGATTTGTGGTTTCATGTATTGTTTGAGTTCCATGTATGTATTCCATGTTATTTTGTCTCTCAGTGTCGAGTCTGCGTTCTTGTTTAGTAATTCATGTTTCCTGTTTTATTGTGAAAGTCTTTGTCTTATGTTAGTGTGTGCAGCTTGGTTCCCCCACGTCTCGTTAGCCCTGATCTCTCCCAGCTGTGTCCCCCTTCTGTTGCCCATTCCCTCATTACTACCCTGTGTATTTAAGCCCTGTGTTTTCCCGCGTCCACACGTGTCGTACCTTCAGATTATGCCTGTGTGTGTTTTTGGTTTCTGTATTCACTTCGTGTTTGGTTCTCATGTCAGCAGGTTTTGATTTACAATTCTGTGTTCGAGTCCTGCGCTTGGATCCTCCTCTCCGCCTGCCCGCACACAGAGCCCTGACAACCACTGATTTCCTTTCCAATCTGATACCAAGTAATATTCAGGGTGGTATCGACGATAGCAAAAATTACTTTGTTTGAAGATTCTCATCCAAAGTCAAAGAGGGCATGTCTTCCATGATGAGGGGACATGAGCTGAGGGGCCAAGCTCCCCCTTATCTAATCAACATTACGGCGAGGACACAGTTCTTTAAAGCTCCTGCCCTTGCAGTCTCGGAGGCCCTCATCATAAAGGCGGAGGAGCTGCTTAATCCACCTTCCCCAGCAACACCACTAAACATGAGCCCAACATCTGGAGGGCTCATAACAGTGGAAGGGGAGGTTGTGGAGGTAAATATTTGTGGTTCCATCAGAATTGATATTGCTTTAGGTTTTCAAAGAAACCATTACTTTTTTGTCTTTAAAAGTAAAAATAATAATTTTATTGTTCTTGTCAAACAAACACAAAATTGTGAGAACAAGATCAACCACTATTATTTTGTAAATGGTTGTAGATTTATCATTAACAACAATAATACAATAATAGATGTAGTAAGTCAAGAAAGTAGCACCTAGATGTACACACACAGATTTATGCAATCACTATAACTGACATTATATTTTAATTGAATTTTCAGTGTTCGGCAGTGAGGAAGTTTGCTCAGGCAAACAACTGGTGCCTATAACGCTCCAGCTAAAACAGGTAATGGTGCAACTAAAGTGTAATATTGAAAATAGTGAAAATAGGCATATTTGAGATTTCCATTAGTTAATGAATAAATGTTTCATTCTGTCATTTTTGTGATTTCAGGATGGACATACCATGACTGTCTCCTTGTGGAGGGAGGCGTCAATTGTTGACGTTCGTGTGGGAGATCAGGTAAAGATCTCCCATGTCAAAGTGCACCGCTCCGCCTATGGAGTACAGCTCCAGTCAACTTCCCATACAAAGACTGAGGTATGAAGAAGCCATATGTTTGTACCAACATGTAATAGCAATGTCATTTGCCAAAATGTTTAGAATTATAGGTGGTCCAAAAGATTGTTCATCTGGACGTAGCATTTTCAAGTGGGAGAAACGTTTCGTCACTCATCCAAGTGACTTCTTCAGTCTCAGACTGCAGGTTTCTGAGGTCTTTGATCAGGGCCCATGACAATTTGTATATTATTGATCAATGAACTGACCTTCCAGCCTATTGTTCCTTCAGTGGCAAGACAAGGCAAGTTTATTTATATAGCACAATTCAATAACAAGGTGATTCAAAGTGCTTTACAGAGACATTAAAAACAAAAAAACAAAAAAGCATGATTTAAAATCGAAAAAAAAAACAAAACAAAACAGTAGATAAAATCAGTAGTTAAAATGTTAGTTTTGAAATTTAAGCTTAAAAGTGTTTCAGCTGATCTGAGGCTTTCTGGGAGTTTGTTCCAGATATAAGGAGCATAAAAGCTGAATGCAGCTTCTCCGTGTCTGGTTCTGACTCTGGGAACTGATAAAAGACCGGATCCAGATGACCTGAGGGATCTGGAAGGTTCATACTGGGTCAGGAGGTCACTGATGTATTTTGGTCCTAAACCATTCAGAGCTTTATAGACCAGCATCAGAACTTTAAAATGAAGACATGCACAACGACAAGAGATTTGTTAGGCATTACTTTATTTGCAAATTAGATTATTTTCAAACATAAATGTCTGCTAAGACATTGAGCAGTATCAGTAAAGCACATATTAAATTTTCCAAACACATGACTTAGAACAAACCTAACTTCAATTCATTTTAAAAGAGTTTTTTCTTAAATAGAACAAGTTCAAGCTTTTGCAGCTGAAAAAAAAAGGTTTATATGTGTGAAGGAACTAACTTACAGAAGTGTTTCAGGATAAAAGGTGAATCAAATGGACCATTACGGAAACGTAACGCTGTTACAGTCCTGCAGCCTAACTGAAGAATTCAAACTGAGTGGCATGGTTCAGGGTTTTGTTTCTTTCTTTCTTTGGAATAATGACACTAATGATTGTGGGCACAAAAAGCTGAAATGGTTTGAAATTATTGAGGAAAACATCCTATTTTACTGTCACTATATATCAGTCATAAGGCACTGTTATTATTTCATTATTACTTCATTAGTCCGCATCAGCTTATCATCAATATTATCATGTATCACTTATCATTTAGTAAATCTGCTACAAGGGCATTCTAGATACAATACTCTATCAGTTAGTAAAGCACCAGTTTAGCTGGGGGTCCAGTCAGGCCGCAGTAAAAGTCATATGAGGACACCCAACTTTGGTTGGCCTGAACTCAGATATCACAAAACTACACACTCCCCACACCCATTCCATTGGAATGTTGTTAGAGCTGAGGCCGACTAAAGACAACCCCATATTTGGTTCTGGACAACGATTGAATACACTTACACAGAGTACACACATTTAAGTCCACACTACACGCACCTACATAGTCATGTAGGACACGCACACACTCATGGAGAACTGTGAGGTCGGCTCAGGACATGCTCTCTGTTTGACATACACACACAATAGACACGAATAGAGATACACACCACACACACACGGTTTTCTCCGAGTGCTGGACTGAGTGGAAACATCTGGAGGCCATATAAGGGGAAACTTCCTGAGTTCTGGGAATTGACTGATACCGATCATGTGACTTGATGTCATCATTGCAATAAAACCCTTGTGAAGAAACTGTTCGGGGGAGATCAGCGCTTAGAGCCTTGTACTGCTCATCTTCCCCATATGTACATATGTATAATAAAAATCACTATTCTGACATCTACTGAGAACATGCAGTCGTAGTCTCTTCCTCAAAATCCGAACCATGACAAAATCTCATTGTGTACTTTCAGTTCTTGTCCCAATCCCCCAGAAGACCTTAGAGCAGTGGTTCTTAACCTGGGTTCGATCGAACCCTAGGGGTTCGGTGAGTCGGTCTCAGGGGTTCGGCAGAGCCTCCACCGTGACATGCACGGCTCATTTTGTGCACCAATAAAAAACATATGTCTTGAATTTGAAAAAAATCATATTTTATTTTTCACTAAAGAGGGGTTCAGTGAATGCGCATATGAAACTGGTGGGGTTCGGTACCTCCAACAAGATTAAGAACCACTGCCTTAGAGCATTTGTTTTGTATCATTTCAGTTCTAAATTATCAGACATGGTGCCAACTCACAAAGTGCAACAGGAGAATGGTATTATAATTTTTCATGTATCTACTCAGTGATGCAAAAGAGAGAATGCCTTTCAAGTGGTTGAGCATTATCACAATAAAATGATTCATGGCAGAGTCTGTAACTGCTCAGTTATAAAAATAGACACCCCCCCCCCCCCCCCCCCCCCCCCCCCCCCCCCCCCCCCCCCCCCCCCCCCCCCCCCCCCCCCCCCCCCCCCCCCCCCCCCCCCCCCCCCCCCCCCCCCCCCCCCCCCCCCCCCCCCCCCCCCCCCCCCCCCCCCCCCCCCCCCCCCCCCCCCCCCCCCCCCCCCCCCCCCCCCCCCCCCCCCCCCCCCCCCCCCCCCCCCCCCCCCCCCCCCCCCCCCCCTCCGCTTTACTCTTCTCTACCTTAGTACCACAAAGTGCAGTTGCATGAAACAAGTGACTCTGATGCTTTTTTCCCCAGCCACCTGACTGTTATTGTTTTGTGTAATATTTAACTGTCATATAGTAAATCTAATCAGGGACTTTTCTTTTTATGATTATAAATATTTATTTTATTACAGTTACTATTTTGCATCATTTTGTTGTTTTTTTGTTTTTAAAGCTTTTAAAAAGCTTCATCATGCGCTTTCATGAGGTGACGTATCTGATAATTAGTTTTTTGGTGTTCTGATAATCTTAGTTTCTAGATGTGCCAAATGTAGTGTTTGTTATTCAATAAACTTTCATGGGAGAAAAAAAAAAAGAAGTGTTTCAGGAAACCATAATAAAAAGTATAAAATACTGAAATACCTATTATGGATATATTTGATATCAAGAAGAAGACAGATGTGTCGGTCGCGAACGAAATGGCTCTTAGAGGCGGATCTTTGACGTGAACGACACGAGCCGGCTTCTTATCGCGAGCTGTTTTTTTTTTTTCTTCCTTCTCTCACCCTGCTCTCTCACACTTTTTTTCCGCTTCACTCCGCACACGAGCCTTGTGCTTTGTGCTGGGCAGAGGGGGAAGCGGCGGTAGTTACACTCGCAGTAGCACAGGAACAGAGCGGGAGGGAAAGAGAGAGAGGAAGAGAGCCAGGGACAACAACGTCACATTAGGGCTACGTCCACACGTACCCGGGTATTTTTGAAAACGCAGATTTTTCTATGCGTTTGCACCTTTCGTCCACACGTAAACGCCGTTTTTGGTCACTGAAAACGGAGATTTTTAAAAACTCCGGCCAGGTGGATATTTTCTAAAACTCCGTTTTTGCATTTACGTGTGGACGAGAAAAACGGAGAAAACGCAGCGTCAAAGGTGTGCGCCTTTTTTGACGTCACACTGTGCGCCACGTTATTGTTTCGGTGAAATGAATTTCTACAATACTGTTACTGTTAATTGTACTCTCTGCAGTGTTTAAATGCTTACATATACACACACAGTTACTGTCCCTCCACACATACGACTCGGTTCTGCTTCTATGCCCCAGCTTTGTTTACTTTTCCCACCGAGGCTTCTAGACTTCTGATTGGCCAACATTTCTACACGGTTAGGAATATATCGCCACCTGCTGCTTTGGCATGTTCCTAAGCAGCGTTTTCCTTCATTTCT